GTTATTTTACTTTCTTAAAAGTCAAATAACCAGGCTTTTAGGTATTTTTCTTTCTTTTCAGTCTTTTTAACATTTCCCATTCCCTCGTCGCTTAAAAATCTATCATCATAGATTTTTGGCATTTAAAGTGAGCAGACACATCTCTAAAAACACATCCTGTGCCCTGCCAACCTTTGGGCCCTGGACTCAAACTCCAATGTGCAGCCTGTGCAAATCCAACTTAGGTTAGCCAGGGCTAAATGTGACCAGTTTAGCTTTCAAGGAGGAAGACGGTGCAATGACTTCACAGCAACAGGCTGTGGTGGTGACAGGCTACTGGAGAGATGACTTGACTTTTTCCTTCACACTCTCCCTTCACTGGAGCTTTCTGAGAACTGCCTGTGGTCTGGTGATAAAGCTGAAAGAGAAGTGGACAGGAGCAAACCAGGAAGAGGGGAGAGAAGCACAGAGCATGCTCAAAGTGGAACCGGGCAGGAGCTATGTAGGCGGAAAGCACTTCAAGCCACGAACTGCCTAGGTCTCTAAGGTTTAAACAAAGAAGGCAGACTTTTTTTTGAGCGCCTAGGATGTACAAGGCCTTAGGCTGGTCTGTGGGGAGGGAAGGGGGTGCAAAATGCTAAGGGCAACAAGTTCACACTTGTAAAAAAATGTAGCTGAATGAGCAGTCAACAAAGAGATGGAAAAAGCACAGGGTTTGTCCAGAAACAGTGAGCAGTCAAGTGTGAAGTCAGAGGAAATGAAGGTGAGTTGGGGCAGATAAGACTAGAGAGCCTGCCTAAGCCAGGCCTGCAGGACCTGAACTCCAGGCTGAAGAATCTGAGTTTTATGCTGTAGACAACAGGAGATGATGCAGTATTCGCGGTCACATACAAAGCATGTACGTAAGGCATGATGGAAGTTACCTTCAAAAGAGATCCCTAAGGGAGAAAGAGACTTAATGTGGGAAGGCTCATCACTGTACTAGTTCCGGGAAGAGGACGATACCAACATGAACTAATAGGGGTTAAGTTATTTTTTTTTAATTTTCAAAAGATTTTAAAATTGTAGAAAAAGAATGAACAGAATTTGGTTATCAGACATAAGAGGGGAGGGAAGAGTCAAAGATGACCGAGGTTTTCAGTGATTGCATTAACAGAAAAGAAACTAGAGGGGAGGAGTATAGAAGAAAGTGAGTGTAGTTATTTGGAAGAAAACAGCCCAGGGCGCTCTCCCTCCAGGGAGCACACACACCCTAAGCCTTTCCCTCCCCTCTCCATTTCCCTTTCCTTTCCACCTCCTTCTCCCCCAGGAAAAAACAACAACAACAACAACAAACAGCCTAGGATAGGCTCTGAAGGGGGAGTTTCTAAGCTCTTGGTGGTGAGAATCTGAATTCCTAAATATGTTTCCTAAATAATTCAGCATTCCTTAAGCCATATGCGGCCCTCTAGGAGACAAAAACATTCACTCCCATTTTACAGATGGAAGAAAGAAAAGTCAAGAGACATGACTAATGTTGTACCAAAGTGTGTTAAAGAAAATATAAATAAAAATATCCAGGCCACTTAGACATATACTTTCAAATTCTCATCATTCATACTTGCTAGCTTCAGTTCACATAGGCATCGCTGGGAAAGCCTACAAATCTGTTACAGTATAGTTCAAGCAGCAAAGAAAGCATGCAAGTCAGCTAGCCTCTATGTTCCAACACTGTCTTTCCTCTAATAAATATTGATGCCTCCCTCTTCCTGAACCTTCGCCCCCGAGGACTTTTCTGCGCAAAGCTCCACTTCTAAATAAACATTTGTGGGTCACTTCACTTGCTCGAGACTTCTACTGTAGAATTCCAAAACAAACTGTTTTCTAAAGGAAGTCTTCAGGGGTTTCTCCAGTTCTAGAAACAAACAAGGTTAAACGGGACAAAAGGGAAAATGGAGAAGGGAACAACAAAAGGAGGAAGAAAAGTGAACACAGGGTTTTTTTGTTGTTTAAATAAACAAAGTGATTCAAATTAATTTGCTTAGCTGCCTGCAGAGCTTGCCACAAAGGTGGAGATGAGGGCCGTATTTCTACTGTGGATAAGCATCTAGGAAAATTCATTTTCCCCTTATTAAAAGGATGTTGGCCACACAGACTTTGCTTATTGAGATTCAGAAAGATAGACACACCCAGGACCTATTTTCCAACATTCTCTCTGGCTTCTACCCTGATAATCTAGGTTACCCTTTATGCTACCCTGAGATATAAATAGCATCCATTTCCTTTCTCAGGCCAGGCCGACTGTAAGCTTTGTTTCCTGGGTCCAGGGGAAAAAATACTCATGGCACATCTCATTCTAAATGTGAGTTACTACAAAGCTGCCTCATTTTGAATCAACCATGGGGAGGGGAAAAAAAAAAAACCCACTTCAAAAGACTGAAATGTGTTATTACCATTTTGATAAATTGGTCCAGAATTGCCCCAGTGGGACTTCTGAGTAGCTGTTTCCTTTCTAGTGCGTAGCTCAGAATCCTCCAGAACACGGGTCTCCTCGTGTGTCCAGGATAAAATGCAGGTGAATATTTTACAAAATGACATGGCTGTACTAAGCTATATACAGATTCCCCAAGAGGTTCTCTGGATTAGAGCACCTTCATTTGCTAGACAGAAATAAGGAGGCATTTCTCCTTATATCACCGGTCTGCGTTTGAAGACATGGACTCTGATCTAAAATTAGCTGCATTTCACTTTTCTACAACAATCCCTACCACCTGAATTCAGCAGAGACCAATCAAAGAAAGGCATAGACATCTTGGAGAGAAGCAGCAAAGTGAGGCCTTTCCTTTCTCTGCCAAGGCAAAGGTGACGAGTAAAGATCAGGTTCACCTTTCCGGTGCTCTGACTCTTGGCTCACCCTACAAAGACCACCTCTCTTCTTTTTATGGACTGTGGGCTCTCTCTCTGTCAGACTGTCATCTCCTCAGGGGAGCCCTGTTTCTCCTGATGTGCATGACAAATAGCATTTAAAAAAATTTTTTTTTTTAATTTCAGAGAGGAAGGAAGAGGGAGAGAGATAAACATCAATGATGGAAGAGAATCATTGATCGGCTATCTCCTGCATGCCCCCTACTGGGGACTGAGCCCACAACCCAGGCATGTGCTCTGATTGGAATTGAACCATGATCTCCTGGTTCAACCTCTTGAGCCACACCAGCCGGGCCAAAGAGCATTTTTAAGCAGCCTTGGGTTGGTTCCCCAGGCTATTGGGAAGTACATATTTTGAGCATACGCGCATAGGAAGTACCAAATCCTCTGTTTCTCTTGGGGGCCATCCAGGGGGGTCCAAAGGGTTCCTGCCACCTGTTTTAGAGGGTGTGACTCTCCTCTGAGGCCAAAACAAGTCTGGGAACACAGCTGACCCAAACAGAACTGGGTGTTTGGTGCTATTGCTTCCCAATTTTAACATGAGCAACTAGAAATTAGTAAGATAACCCCCTTTACTGTAGGTATTCTGATGGGAACTAATAATTTCAAACCAAAAGTAAAACCAAAACCTTGACAAAAAATCCTCACTAGCGTGTGGCTAGTTTCTGGGGTTTTTGTTTGTTTGTTTGTTTGTTTGTTTGTAGTTTTTTGGAAGGAATGAAAAGATGCTGAGATCCCCACATCATTTATCACCCAGCACAGATAACTGGCTTCAGAGCTGCGCTGACTTCTCCCAGAAGACCTCTCTCTACTTAGGGAATGAGACACGCCAACAGCCTGGTGCTGGTGTGCCAAGAAGACAGAACCCACCTCTTCCTGTTGCCATTGGGCCTGTTTTCCACAGACGGGATTCTGGCAGCCTCTTTCGAGGAGCAGAGAAGAGGATATGTTCTTAATCTTAAGGGGTCCCAGAACCAGAGCCCACAATGTCATGGAAACTGAAGCAATAGCTGTCTCAAGATCAGCACTTCCAGTTATCTGAGCTAAACCCATGAAAGATGCCCGCTATCAGCACCATCAGGTGCTCTGACCACGTCTTGTGGTGGCCGCAATGAAGGAAAAGCATAAGGCCTGAGGAAGTCCTTGGCCTGCCTCGTTTCCTCTCATTTTACAAAATTATGCAACCTGCTATCCCCCGCACCCGTCACAGTGTCCAGCCTTGAAGAGTCAGTGAAGTGCTGGCCCACACCTGACACAGCCACTTGAGACTCTTCATCTCTAGCGAATGGCTGAGAAAAGTGGTCATGCCAAAGCTCGAACGTAACTGGAGCCCATGGGCACGCCCAGGAGGTAAAAAACACACAAAACAAACAAACAAAAAAAACCCCACCAGGGCGCCCTTGCAGAACAGTAGGAGCTGGACAGACAATGCAGGTGTGCAGGTCCTCCCTGAGCACCAGACTGGCCCAAATTTCAGCCCCGCGCCACTCGCTCTCCAAAAGACAACCTTCTGCTCAACAATTGGCCTTTTGTGCTGCACAAGGGTTGGGTGGAAAAAACCTAGTCCCTTTCCCCTGGAACCTCATCCGCGTCTCCTTTCCCGGGGGGACAGGGCTCCCCTAGACTCCGGCTCTGCGCACAGCCCAATCCATACCCGGGGCTGGGGACAGACAAGGGAGCCAGAGGGCCCCGATACGCACACCATTCCTCCCCCAAAGGAAGGGTCCGTCGGGGACGCCTGCTCCCCGGCACAAGCCAAAGTCGGAAGGTCAGAACTGAACTGGCTGAAGGTTAGGTTGTCCTGAGGCTCAGAGAGGGGCAGCGACTGGCCCCAGGTCACACAGCAAGTCAGAAACAGAGTTGGACTCTACGACCCCAGCCTCAGGATTCCAGAATACGCCCCGGCCACCCGCCGGCCCACGCCACGCCCGAATCAAACGAATCAAAATAATTGACATCCCCTCTCGGAGATTCAGCCCCGGCGTCCCCGCGCTAGAACCTCGGGCTTCATGGCGTGTGCCTCCACCCGCCAAACCGCAGGCCCTGCCCACCTGAGGGCCGGCCCCGCCGCCGCTCCCGGCCCAGAGCCCCAGCCAGCTTCCCACCGCCCGCCGAACCTGAGGAGTCGCGGTCCCGAGAACCCGCGGCGGCGGACATCTCCCTGCTGCTTCCTCAAGCTCTTCATCTCGCCGCCGCACCGCCCCGCCTGCGCTGCCCCAGGGGTCCGCCCCCGCAGCCGCCTCCGCCAATAGAAAGCCGGGAAGCTCCATAACCACGCCTCCCACACACAACAGAGCCCACCCCTGCAGCCGGGCCTCCTCCAATCCCCACCGCCCCTCCCCCGATGGATACCTGCCTCCGCCAATTCTGGCGCACCCGGGCCAGGTGCCGAGGGCCGAGTTCCCACCGCGCGGCAAGGGTTCCATCTCGGTGCACCTGTACCGAGACAGCCACTGGAACTCAGGATCCCGGGTCGCAGGGTCCAAGCCTGAGGCAGGAAGGAGGAGGAAATACTGAGCCACGGGCTTGAAGGGCAGGCTTCACCCCTGCGTGACTGTATGACCAGGAGCCAAGCGCTCAGTCTCTTCGAAGAGTCTCCAAGCCTGTGTTTCCCTGTTTCCCTCGCGCGCAGAGTGGGTCCGAAATGCAAATGCAGTAATAACAGCAACCGAAAGTGTCCTTCCAAAGTAGACTCGTGCCATTCCCCCAACCTCGCGGTAACTGTGTGCCAAGGTCTATGCGTCATAGGTATCCTTAATCGGCACAAACGTTAGCAGATCGGGAGCTATTAACCAACGGCCACTGAGCTCAGAGTGGTGGAGTCTGAGGTCACAGAGTGAGAGGCAGAGTTGGGGGCTCAGATCGATGTCAGTACTAGGGGGTGGGTAGAATGCTTTAACTACCCATAATCTCCATCAGCAACTCGCAAGCCACTCCAAATAAACACACTCTGAAAGCAGTGTGCTTGCCCTGAAATACTCCTTCAGGACAAGTCCTCCGGCTCCCCCTTAACCAGATTGCCGTCCATCCTTCTTAGAACTTCTTGACTCTCCTCTGCCTGTCACTCAAACTCAGATCTGTCTGGCTTCCAGACACTTGCTGTTGCTTTCTATGCTACCCTGCCTGCTTCCCTTGTAGAAATTCATGACCCTGACCAAACTGAATTTCCAACGGCATCATAAATGAGGAGATTTGGGTCTCAGTCCTGATGATGCACTGCCAGGCACAGCTTTTAAATTATTTTCAGGATTTGCATGCTATTAACCTATCCCGGGCCTCATGGGCTCCTCATAAAACTCTTGGAATAGTAGGTAAGGCAAGTTCATGCTTCAATTGTAGAAATAATAAAGCCAAGGCCTGAAGAAATAAAATATATTATTCACATTCACAAGTAGGCAGTGGCAGAACTGGGATACGAACTGAAATCTCTGGGCTCCGTGGGCTTTGATGTTAGACCCTGGGGTTCCAAGTCCTATTACTTCCCCTTGATGAACGTCTTTGGGTAAGTTACTTACTTTCTCCATGT